GCCTTTCTAGACCCTGTCTCCAGGGTAGGCGACTGTGGTCCTCTCAGTGTTATGAAAAAGTTTTGAAGTAGGCAACGATAGGTCAAGATCTCGGAGATACTACATGCAGACATTTGGATAAAAGGCATTTCTTAACAAAGTCCGAGCTTTGGATGTCCACACTTGGCTAAAATTCAGTGGTCTCCTCTCCAGGAGAAGCATTTGCTCCTGTTTCCTGTGCTCAGCTCATGTCCCTGGCTCTCGAGGGCACCTGAGGGTACAATAGGTAGACACTAGGGCAGCCACACCCAGACATCACACAGGCGACTGGAGGACTCTCCCAGAAAGCTTGAGTCAGGCTAAGGGGTCCCCTTAGGAGATTTGGAGTAATTTATAGCCTAAGTGGCAAATCTGTCAGCTAGACAGAGCTGCTGGCAGGGCCTGCTTGCCTGTGCCACAAGTCAACACAGGGACAGCCAGTCCAAGTCTGAGGCAGAGTCCCACCTCATTTGGGAAGGATAGGCAGTCTCACTTTCTGGTCCTTGCAGAAGCGTGTGTCTACACCCTGGAGCTATCAGAGACATTCGAGAGGGCGTGGCTTGTTGAGTTCACCCATTTGCAGTGGCCCTGACTACAAAGCAGCAGAGCACAGGGGACTCAGCACTTGCCTGTGCTGGCTGGATGATGTCATAGGCCTTGACCACACCTCGGAAACTGTTAAATGTGCTCATAGGCCCTTCCTCTCAGTGGTCAACCAGCCCAACTAGGTCAATTTTGTGAGAAGTTTGCCTCCTGAGCACTCTGCAATGTGTCATTTGGGGAAAGGATGCTTAGGGAACAGCTGAGATGCTTCCCCCGTGGCGGAAATGAAAGCCCCTGGGCCGTGCAGCGCCCTCTGGAGGGCACACTCGCTCAGACCTCAGACGACGACCATCTCCATGTTTGACCGTACAGACGTGCACTGCCACTGCAGCTGGCTTCAGAGTCCAGGAATGTTCCCAGGTCCCTCACTGGGAAAGGAGCTCCGGAAAGGCAAGCAAAGCTTGTAGGACTAAAAGCAGCAGAGGCTATCATTTAGGAATAATAAAGAGGAATTAAAATTGACATTTTATTTTATTTAAAGAAATCAAAAATCCCCAAAGTTTATCCCAGGGAATGTCACTCCAAGGCCTTTATCTGGGGAACCAGGGTGAAAGGAAGCAGCCACAAGCAAAGCCTTTTAGGTACCTGCTGAGAGATCGTACTCCATAGCAGAACAGAGGCAGAGGATGGTGGGCGGAAGGATTTCTAGGGCTTCTGCATATCTTGTGCAACCAAAGGACCCTTGGAAAATTTTTGATTCACCAGACCTGGGCCAGCAGCGATGCCAGAGCCAAGACAGGACCGTTCTAGAGCGTCAGCTGCAGGCTTTATCCCTCTTTTCCAGGGCAGGCCCAGGCCTCTTCAGAACTTTAAAGGGCAGGGGCAGTAGGTGACGAGATCTGTGCTCCTGCATGCTGCCGTGCAGTGCGTGGGTGCGGGTGTGAGCTCTACTTGCTTTCAAAGCCACACGATGAGTGTCTTCTGAGAACCAGGGGAGGAGGGAGAGCTCTGTCTCTGGGTCCTTTTACTCGGTGTCCAGTGCCAGGAGCAGAGCTCGGTAGGTACAAGGAACTCATTTGTCCATTTCAATGTTCATTCAATCAAAGACTCTGCGAATGAACCTGTGTATTTTAGAAGATGTGGGTACATATGTGTGTGTACACACAAGTCTCTGGATTAGTCTAAAGGGTTCATTTAGCTCTTTAAAAATAATAACTTACTGGGGACCTGAGCCAGAGCCTTCCCATGGACCTATAGCCACAGGCTTTTTATTTATTTATTTATTTATTTATTTATTTATTTATTTATTTATTTATTTTTGTGGCTGGCTCAGCTCACCTTGGTGGCAGGGGAGCAGGGCTGGCGCAGCATGTGGTGCCAGGGAGTAAACCGTATTCACTGTGCACTTACCTAAGCTTGCCTAAGCAGGCGCCTTAGACTGCTGAGCTATCTTGCTGGCCCCAATCTCCAGTGGTTTTTTTTTTTTTTTAATTCCCAGCTTATTAAAAAAAATTTTGTTTTTGGAGATAAGGTCTCACTAAGTTGCCCATTCCTGGCTTGAACTTGCTAGCCTTCTGCTTCAGTCTCCCTGAGTTCTGGGATTGTAGCCATGTGCTAGTGTGCCCACTCTTGACACAAGTTTGCAGTTAGCATGAAGCCTCTGTGAGCATGACAGGGCATTCGCACTACAGGTTGAGGAAGCGAATGTCCCAAGATTGGGATCCTGTGACCAGCAGAGCGGAGAGTGGCAAGGGATGTCAGTCCCCTGTCCAGAACCCCTACATGATTTCTGGGATCTAATTCTCCTCGCTAGTCTACATCACAGAGCCCCCTGAAAGCTTGCGGTGGCCTCTACCCATGCTCCCAAGACCTAAGGAGTTTAGAAAGATCCCAAGCCCCAGTTTGCATTCTTGGCTTTATTAACTCAAGAGTCTGGGGAGACAGGGATGCTGGATGTCAGTACTTTGTATAGCTCCCCAATCAGTTCCACGCTGGTTTTGCAAAGTGCAGTCTTTACAGCATCCGCATCCAAATGACCAGGGACTTCTTTTACAAATATGGACTCACGTTCTGCCCCAGACCCGAAGAACCAGCACTGCTCCTACTGGGGTCCAGATCTCCTATTGTAACCAAAACTGCTTACTGCAGGTGTTCAAGCATAGCACAGTTTGAAAACCACTGCTCCAGTGTGCATTCAAATGTGTGACCCTGGAAACACACACACACACACACACACACACACACACACACACACACACGCAAGCACACACACACCCTTTGTGCATCCCTGTGGTCCCCACCCAGACAGGCAGCCCCCGCCTACCTCAGACCTGGGCTTAAAAGTCCACGTTCTCATTCTCCCTCTTCAGCTCCTGCAATGAAGGCTCAGGCTTCCTCCACAGTCCCTTGGCCAGATGCACGTAATCACTTCCAGGTGCCTCTGTGCAGCACACCTGCAGCTCCCTGGTACTTGCAGGCCCCCCCTCTGCTGGCTCCTAGTCCCTGAGCCCCCCAAGGGGCTGCCCTGACCCAAGGACCTGAGTTCTTGGCCTGGCTGTCCAGGTCTGAGCCTATGCCCACCCCCTCTGCTCTAGGGGACTGACTGCCTCTGCTCCACCTGGCCACTGAGCTTCCAGATAAACTGAATTTGTGGGGGATATCAGCTGTCCAAAGAGGCCCTTCCCAGAGATGATTTCCCGTCTAGGTGTCAGTGGCTGAAGTGGATCTGAATTCAATGCAAGGATGAACTTCCAGGAGTGGGAAAATGGTGCTTGAAATTGTTGGCCGCTTTGCCTCGCAGGGCATAGACTCCTCCCCAACATCCATGTCATGGGGCCACCCAGAGACCACTGTGACGTTTGAAGTTATGGTCAGACAAGTAGAATCCCAGATAGTTCCTTTTTTCAGACCAGAAGAATGTCTGTAAAGAAAGGTTCCAGGGAGATCTTTCCAATGAGGACTGGTGCTCCATCCAGAGATGATAGGTTGTGGTGCTTGCTCAGAACCTGGGCCTATGCTCCTCTTGTTTACAAACTCGAGGCCCCCAAGTGCCTATGCTTAGGGAACTGGGAATCCTGGCATGAACAGAGACCAGACACAGAGAGATGTCTCCACAGCACACCGTTCACCCATGACTTGCTGTTGCTTGTTAGATCAGTCTTTTACAATAGAACAGTGGAAGTTTGTGTGTGTGTGTGTGTGTGTGTGTGTGTGTGTGTGTGTGTGTGTAGAGGGAGGTGGATAGTGACAGCGTGCTTCTATGAATAAGCTAACTGGGACTGTCACAGTTTCTATTCCTTTCAGGGATCTTTTTTAGTTGGAAAGTCTAGAAAAGGCCCAGGATTACTAAAAACTTCCTGGACCATATTTAAATCCACGTGTGTTTATCTTCTTTTCTTCCTCTGTCCTAAATTAGATACCAGTTGTCTTGTTATGAGGGCTCTCGCCATCGCGCAAAGAACAATAGAAGTTGGGTGTTGAATTTAAATAAATATTTAATTCATGAAAATTATCTTATATGTTTTAAAACACTCTTTAAAGCTATTTTTATTCTCTAGAAAGCGCTTATTATAGGTAAATTACGCATTTTACTACCGGAGCATTAGGTTTGCCATTAGTACAAATTTAAGGCACTACAAAGACCAGTAGATAATGTTCATTTCAAATACAGAAACTAAGAATATTTTGTGCCTTTTTATTACTCATTTTCTTTTAAGTTTTATTGACTGCTTTTTATCTTAACTATATGTCTTTACATGCCGCAATCATAATGCACTGTAATGGTATTAATATTTTATAGAATCGGTATTTATAGTTCTTTATTTAGGAACAATGCAGTGGGTCTGCAGCTATCTGAGCCCGTCTGGAATGGTGCCCTCCAAATAATGATGAATTACTTGTGCAGTATGCCATTTGCTAATTATATCCATGATTTACTGCAGAGCAAGACTTAAATCATTCATTTCAGTCTTGCGTAACAGTGCCATAAAAAATTTTTAGGTTTAAAAATGGTTTCCATGTGTATAATTTAAACAAATTTCAGAGCTATTGTATACACAAAATATTGCAACCACCCATTTGTTACACACTTTGTCTTTTTAAACTTCTACTTTTAATGATCACTGTGGTTGAAATTATTATGCTTAATTTTCATAATCATAGCTTTTAAATCTACAGCCGTTTTCACATGTTAGATAAAGAAAAAGATAGCTAATTGTGTGTAGATGGTGTGTCATCCCTGAATAGCCCCAAATGGTACAAAATCATTAGAAAACCTTAAGAGTACGAATTATTCTTCTATTAAAAAACAGTTGTTCTCTAACTAATTATTAGTTTGAGCAGCTTTGTTGCAGAGAACAAATGTTGATCCTTCTAGCCTTGTTCTGCACTCTACAATGAGATAAACACTTTTCCTTTTTTTTTATATCAAAATCCTGCAGGTGAGAAACCCTACAAGTGTCCGCACTGTGACTATGCCGGTACCCAGTCAGCATCCTTAAAATACCACTTGGAACGTCACCATCGTGAGCGACAGAATGGAGCTGGGCCGCTGTCTGGACAGCCCCCAAACCAAGACCACAAGGACGAGATGTCTAGCAAAGCCTCTTTGTTCATCCGGCCGGACATCCTGAGGGGGGCCTTTAAAGGTCTCCCGGGAATTGACTTCAGAGGTGGCCCTGCCTCTCAGCAGTGGACCTCAGGCGCGCTCTCCTCTGGAGATCATCCCGGGCAGGCCACTGGTATGTCCTCTGATGCTCCTCCAGATGCACTGAAAGGGGCCGACCTTCCTTCTAAAAGCTCCCACTTCTCTGAGCTCGGCAGAGCTTATCAAAGCATTGTGAGCAATGGTGTGAATTTCCAAGGGTCGTTGCAAGCGTTCATGGACAGCTTTGTCCTCAGCTCCTTGAAGAAGAAGGACATGAAGGACAAAGCGCTCTCTGATCCCCTCTCCATCAAAGTCCACGGAGCAGAAGGCAGTGAGGAGAAACCCAGTGGTAAGTCTTCCCAGAGGAAGTCTGAGAAATCTCAGTATGAGCCTTTAGACTTGTCCGTGCGGCCAGATGCTGCTTCCCTCCCAGGCTCCTCCGTGACAGTCCAGGACAGCATCGCGTGGCATGGTTGCTTGTTTTGTGCTTTCACAACCTCCTCCATGGAGCTCATGGCACTTCATCTTCAGGCCAACCACCTGGGCAAAGCAAAACGCAAAGAGCACGCCACTGTGGGGACAGCCAACTGCAAAGAGCAGGTGCGGGAGGCCGGTAAGGTGGGCCTGCTGCCCTCGGTACAATCAAACAAAGAGATGGGCCTTTCCAGTACAGTGGGCTCCCTGGACTCCGCATCAGAGAAGATGGCCCAAGGACAGGCCAAAGAGACTCTGGGGGACCAGAAGAGTGGTGGCCCATGGCCCAGCTCCATGGACCCTGCATTTTGTAACTTCCCACCTGACTTCTACAAGCAGTTTGGTGTTTACCCTGGCCTGGTTGGCTCAGGAGCCTCCAATTCCTGTCCCAACAAGGATCCTGAGGCAAAGACCCACCCCGAAGATGACGCGCCAATCCTGATCCCCGAAACCACGAGTAAGAGCACTGCTGATGACCTCTCAGACATCGCCTCCTCCGAGGACATGGACTCCTCCAAGGGAGAGAACAACGATGAAGAAGACCTGGAGACCGAACCAGAAATGATGAGCAGCAAACCTCTATCTGCCCTCAGCAAGGACAGCAGCAGCGACGGTGGGGACAGCCTGTTGCCTACCGGCACCCCTCAGCCCGTCCAGGGACTCGTCTCACCATTAGCGCCAGCGTCGGAGAAGCAGTGGCCCAGCCCAGGTCTTCTTCCTGCCCAGGACCCCTCAGCGGGCCTGCCCAAGCCAGAGCGGGGACCCGCAGGCCTGGAGAAGCCGCTGAACATGCTGTCGGTCCTCAGGGCCTACAGCGCCGATGGCTTAGCAGCCTTTAACGGACTTGCAAGTAGCACAGCAAATTCTGGATGTATCAAGAGGCCAGACTTGTGTGGTAAGTTTTAGAATCCTCTTCCTTTAGTTAATTTCCCAAAACATCAGTGCTAAATGATGCATTAAAAAAAATAAGATAGACTTATGCATTAGGAAATTTCAAATGAAACCTAAAAAAGAAAACAGAAAAACCTTAACACTGTATTTGCAGTGTAGACAATCATAAAAGTTGATTTTACTTAGAAGTGTTAAAACTCATACTTTTATATTCTAATCTACATTATAGTGCTCTCGACTGCTATACAGATGGAAAAGGGTGTGGAGTCTCACAGCGTAGACTACTCCTAGTTTTCATCCATATATTGCAGAGGGGAGGAAAAACACGTTAAAAATAAAAAAAAAAAAAAAAAAAGGAGATGGTAACTTCCAAACTTTTCAGTACTTTCAACTCACGCAAAAGATGCCTAAAAACAGCTCTGTACTGCTTTGCTAAGCCAAATTTGCTTTCTGAAATTTTTCTTTTCTTGATGTAGAGGATACTAAATCATATCACATGAAGCACAGATTAGGAAGAGAATGACCCTCCATCCAAACAGGGAGATGCTTTTGGATGTTTGTGGATTCACCTTTAGACATACCAAATGGCAGTTACCATGACTTCGGCCTTCTGCTGTTGCCTTTCGTCTGCCTGTCTGTTCTCCTGTCTGTCTGTCTTTCTAACAAGAAATGCACATTGTGAAGTCTCTGATAAGCAGTGCTGTGACCCTGTCTGTCTTGGATTTATGCTTGTCTGATCTTGTAGCAAATTGGTCCTTCTTCATGCTTACTCCAAAGCCACTGCAGATTTGAAAATATAACCCTAAACTCAAAGCTTAGAATTGGATCCAGTGAAGGCTGGGGTGGGCAGGGAGGAGCGGTGCTATTTTCTTGGTACCCAGGTGTTCATTTAAAAGCTTGGCTCCAAAGGGAAGCTCAGTGTATTATTCCCTTTGAAACCAGCCCCGAACAGTCCCACTAGAGACAGATGGCCACTTCCATCTTTAATTTATGAATGGATTTGTATAGTTTTATTTCATCGAAGGGAGGAAGGGAGAAAAGAAGGAAGGAAAGGAAGGAGGAAGGAAGGGAGGGAGGGGGAAGAGGGAAAAGGAGGAGGGAGAGCCATGGAAGGAAGGTTGGGCACGTAGACTGGAGTGTTTCTGAGTCTCAGCACCCCAATAGTTCTTTTAGTGCAGAGCAGAGTTCCGGAAGCTAGACTCTGGGTTCATCAATTTAAACTGATGTATTTCATTTTCTCTGTCCTTTACTAATTCACTAAGAACTGGATCAAGCCTTTGGAAACATTTTTGAATTGTCAAAAATCACTAAATGGGTTTCTGACGGCTCAAAAAATATTGACAGTTTTTCTTATGCTGAGAGATTCACAAGGCCCCATTAACCAGCACCCCCAGATCTATTTTTAGCCACATACAATTCATTACTTTTGAAGCTGTTAAAAACAATATTTAAAAGAAGAAAAGGACTCATGTCAGTCCAATTTATTTTCCCTTTTCTTCTGGGGGAGCAAAAATGTGCATCTTTTTCTCATTCATTGTTGCTTAAGTTTCTGATTGGGATGGCTGCCTTTTTATTGTTGTTTGGGGAATGTTTTTAAAGTCTATTTTCAGTTCTTTCAACTACGTAGTAGGACCATAGTTTCTGCCAGGAATCCATGCAACAGAAAAGATCAAAACCTGGCATGCACATGAGCTCGTTATTATTGAAATGAGCTCATATTACCCCTATTAATGTTCCTGTCTTCCTATCAAGACAGAGAAAGGCTGCCTGCCTTGAGGAGGCTCATCTCCAAGCAGGGTGGAGGGGAGAGCCACACAGGGAACCGCTTGGTCCTGTGAGCTTTTGCCCTCTGAACTTCACGCTCTTAGGTGCTTCCCAGACAGCAGCTCCCAACGCATCCTGTGCTCCCTGTACAAAATCTTTGCTCAGTCAACCTCTCCACCACCTGACCCTGGGCTGCAGCTCCTCTCTTTCAAAAGAGCTGAAGAGTCTCTGATCAGCCAGGACAAGAAAGCTGTTTGCTTCCCCAATAGAAGGTCCAGGTCTCTCTAACTTAAAATGGCAAAACTAACTCTGACCATAAACTGCCTGTTCTATTTCATTTTTTAAACTGCCCATTTTAGAGAATATAGATTTTGCATTTCCCTTGCCCTCTTTTTTTTTTTTTTTTTTTTTTTTTTGATTTATGTATTTGGTACATGATCTCACTACGCAGCTTGGACTTGTCACGATCCTCCTGTTTCAGCCTCCCCAGTGCTGAGATTACCGTTGTGTTACCAACATATCTAGCTTCCATGGCCAGCTCAGTGGACAAGGGGCAGGGCTGGTACAGTATGCCAATTGAACCCTGCAGGCAGGCACTTCGACCACTGAGCTATCTCCCCAGCCCATCACTTGCCCTCTTTTCTTCTGTATCTTTCTGCTGTAGTTTGGAAGCAGGCAGGGAAGATCCTTCTCCATCCTTTGCATTTGCTTAGGCTGGAGGACACTGTCCTCTTAGATAGGTTGGGCCCAAGCCTGCCCAGTTTTCATTTCCCTGCCCCTCACCTGGGCCACCATAATTGCAACCTTTTGATGTTCTTCCTGGTTGCAGGACCACGAAGGCCAAGCGTAGTCATCTTTGCTAATACTTAATATCTCAGAGGAAAAGCACAAGTGGCAGTTGTGAGCTTCAACTCCTGCTGGCTTCACTTTGCAAGGGTGGAAATGATATTGGCACAGAGAATAAAATATTTCTATCATGCATTCCCTCTTCCCTCCTGCATTTAAAGTACTTATGAGTCTACAAATTGGCCCACCAGCTTGATAGCTTGCCTTCCTCAAAAGTTGGACATTGCCAAACGGAAGATTTTTCCCCCCACTATTTCTCATCTCAGATAGGATTTGGAGTCTGACTCTTGTCTGATTGTAAGCCCAAATCTTCACTCAGATTCTTCCACAAACAGAGGGAAGAAGTTACGTCCCTCTGTTTAAGGAAGAAAAGTATTTGACGAAACACCGGTAAACCTTTGTTTTAATCAGGTGGATGCCCCCAGACCTCAGAAGTCCCTGTCGTGCCTGCTGGTGGGCTGCAGAAAGTGGCTGCTCAGCCTAAATCGATGGGAGATCGTTGTGTTGGAGGATGCGGTCTCAGGTCCTTCCTTGCAGTTCTGCTTCCTAATTTTTAGACCTAAGGTCTTGCTCAATGGGCTTTGCCCATTTGTGAGAACCAAAAGGAAAGAGGCTGCCTTGGCTTGGTGGTTAGGGAGTGTCCTCTAGCACATGCCAGTACAGAGAGCAGGAGTGTGAATTTCCACAAGATCTCCCCAGAGAAGGTGGTATATTACCATACGAGGAACATGTGGCAGAGGATCCCAAGAAAGAAATTGAGCCACCATGGGTTAAACTGGAGGACAAGTATCATTTCACTTAAGTTGGGCAGGCCCTCAAGGGTCTGACCCCGTTACATGAAATCCTAGTGTAATCAAGACCTCAGCCTTCTGGAGTGACTTCCTGGCTCTAGGCTTAGCCCACATTTCTCTACTCGGTTGAAGGACATAATGAAAAAGGGCACTGCAGTGTCATCAGAGAACTTGGCTATGCTTTGCTTTTTGAGGTGTGGGTTTAACCTTGGGTTTACCAGGATATAGTCTCCACAGGCTCTGTGTGGTGTGGCAACATTTGCACCCACTTACAAGGAGAGACAGGCAAGGCTCTTGCCCAGTCTTAGAAACAAAGATGGATGTGTTGGTCAGCAGATAGCTCAGAAGTCCAAATGAGCATGGAAGGCACAAGTTTCCCTGTGCCCGCAGCCAGCACAAAGGCCAGCCTGCAAAGCACCTTGGACTGGGCTACAAGCAAAGAATAAAGACCATGTTCCACTCCGTACGTGTAAAACGCAAACAGCTCACCCTTTCTCCTTGCTTTTTGAATCTGAGACAGATGGCCAGGACATGGAGTTGCTATGTTGGGTTTCTTGAGCAGGTTTTGCTCTGTGTCCTTTGGTGAGCTCCCAAAGGGCAGGATTGATGGGGAAAAATTTGTCAGATTAAGAGAAAGACAGGGAGAGAGAAGAGCACAGTTCCTTTTCTCTGAGATGCTCTGGTTTGGCATTGCCACCACTCTGGAAAGCCCAGAGGAGCAAGGGGAGTCATCAGTGTGTGATCTCGGGCATGCGGCCCTGTGTGCAACAGCTACAGAACAAGTGGGAGGGCCAGTGAGAGGACAAGGCCACCAATGGGAATCCTGCCAAGAGTTCCAATTCTTTATTCTCAGAAACTGGTTCCCTAACCCAAATTCTCCTGTGGCAGTACAGTAAGGGTTCTCTGGGCTTCTGCAACAGTGAGAAAATGGAGATGCTCCCTCCCCACCAAAAAGATCCCTCCCAGTGAGTTTGCTTCACTAAAAATGTGTGATGAGTTGAACCAAGATAAGTAAACTAAACTCTTAAAATGTGACTTTTATCCTCCTCTGATTTCTAGCATAGGCAGTCTGAACACTGCCACCCACCACTTTCCCAGATGCACTTTCCCACAAAGCAGAGGGCACTGTAAGTACTCTCTTAAAGAGCCAGAGGGTAAATATTTTAGGATTGAATGCCATGTGGTCCGTGAGTTCCAAGCTCTGGCGCATAGCACCAAAAGCAGACCCAGATGATATGCAAGTGATGGGGTGGGCCTGTGTTCCAATGAAAGTGTATGAACTAAAGCAGTGGGCAGGCTGCAGATGGCCCATGGGCCATAGCATGCCTGCTGTAGTGTGAAGAAATATGTGTTCCTGTGGTTATCCCTAGGACGGAAATGCAGGAACATGTCTCTGTTGTTGCCATGAATGGTGAGACCATACTTGACCTATGCAACTACAAGGCTTTGTTAATGGCTGTGCAAAGCCAGGCAGTGTCCAGAGACATAAAGCCTGTAGACCCACATGGGCTAGGATACCTGTGTCTAGAAGGCCATATCTCTGTATGCATGCAAGACTTCCAGGGGAGCACTCGATCCAGAGCCACCCCACCATCACCACCACCATGGTCGGCGCACATAAGAACAAGAGACCACACGGCTCTGTCCGGGCTTTGTGGAAGCTTGATTTCTCACAGGTAGACAGAAGGGTAGGGATAAAACAAGGGGACAGATTTGAATAAGGTCTGAGGAGCTCGGATTGGTGCTTCCCATTTGAGTTTTCTTCCCCACGGCAGAACCAACGATGCCTTCATCCAGACGTCTTTCAGCTGTGCCAGCCCCTTTAGTATGAAACAAGTACAATTCCTACTTTCCTTCCCTGTTCTAAAAGCACACTCGATTTTACCGTGTTTTCTGTGCCACACTGTTGGTAGTGACTTCTTGGTATACAGGAGCATTAGCCTTGAAGATGGTTCTGGCAGTGCTGTGCTGCCGCCTCGTCCTGGGGCTCACACCACTTCATTCTCTACTCAGTCCTATCCCTGATAGGAGGCAAGTGCCTAGGGGCAGGACGTAAGTCTTCAACTGAATAATAGTGGAGTTCTGTGGCCATTTGGAGACACTTTCCAGGAAGACATGGCTGAGGGAGGGGAAACACTGTCAGAATGGAACACGTGTGCGTGGACGTCACTTGCACAGGCCGGGGTGCGGTGTCTATAGCAGTTGGTGCTGGTTTGGTTTTGTGGAAGAGTCAAAGTTCAGCCCTGGAAGCAGTGTGTTCTAAAGAAGAAGGTTAAGGGTTTTGTTGTTGTTGTTGCTGTTGTTTTTTAAATACCACTAGAAGAGTCCACAAAATCATATGTGAACCCATGTTAAATGCAGCCAACCCCAAGGAGGGCAACTATTTTGGACATCCCAGGGCGTCTCTTTTGTTGTCTCCAGTAGGTGCTGCCATGCTTTATTTAAAGCCAAATGAGTGATTCTTTTTCTTCCTTTCTGTGAGCTCATTCTTATGTGGATTTGCTAGAAAGACTGTGGGTAAAACACATTTTTGCCCTTTCTTTGATCATTTATTTACAGGTTACTCAGTGACCTCCATTGTCCTGCCTGCTCCTGGGCACAGTGAGTGTAAGCTCTGACATTAGCTCCCTAGCAGGTAGGACAGCTTGGCCTGCTATGAAGTCTAACTGCAGAACTTCGTAATTTCATGTGGTTCAGCACCCCTTTTTCCCTGCTCTGTCTCTTCTTGCTGCCTTACAATTGGCTACAGAGCTTTTGTCTTTGACTCTGATAGGATCCCCCTTAGATGATGTCCTCTAGGACCCCTGCAGACACCAGCGCCCTTCTCCTCTTCTTTCATCCAGAGCTGTGCTCTGCACACTGCGTTTGACAAAGAGGCAGCCCCTTTGGATGGCAGCCCTTTCCACAATCTTTTGGCTTTCTTCTCTTCCTCCCCTTCTTTCTTTTTAAACGAAATGGGAATGCCACTGATGTGATGTCGTTTGCACTGCAGGATGACAGAACTGTTGTGTGAATACCATTGTATTTGCCAAATGGTCCACCCGTCATTTCAGAACAAACAAATGGATGGTGTCCGTAAGTCGGCAAACACTGTTGACATTTAGCCTTGTTTATGTTCCTTTCCTTTTGCTGCATATTTTTGGCTCCAAAAGCTACTGTCTGAATCAACAGTGCCTCTGAAGCTGGAGGAAAGTCTGGTTGCATTGATGTTGGTTGCCGTGTCCATGTTCTCCTTGGATCACATGATGCCGACTTCTCAGGATCAAGTCTGAGGGATGAGAGAGAGAGCCTGCTGAAAATATGCATACATATTTTTTCCCTGGTAATGGTTTAATAAATTGGTCAGGGAGGAGGAGAATTTTGAGAGAAGAGAGCATTGTCAGAACAGATACTCCTGTGTCTGGTGAAGTGCAACTTTTCCAAGTATACCCAGTCACCACCATCTAAATTAGAAGATGTGTAGCCTCAGGGATGTCTTGTGTTGGGTGCAAGAAGACTCCCTTGGCTTCAACTTTGGCCTCTACATCCTTAGGCTGCTGACTGGAGGGGGTCACTGGAAATGGCCACATCTAGGTTCAGGCCACATGTCAGCAGCTGAAAGAATCAGGTTCTTTCTTCCTTTCTCTTTCTCTTTTTCATTTTCAGATGTGTGCAAAGCCCAGGTTTCAAATAAGTAGTAATTATCTCCTATTACTTAGCGCTGATCAGCGCCACCTCTGCCTCTAATTGCCAACCTGCTCTAATCATGTAGACTATTCTTGCTTTTGCCAGAGACGGAAGGACCAAATTTTATAAATATTGCTTTATTGTCATTATTTCATTAAACAATTAGGAGATGTGGCCCTGCCCTTGTGTGCAAATGCCTCTAGCGTATGTGGTTTCTTGATTGTTTAATGAATCTGCACGTTTTCTTGCAGGTAAGTGACAACCTCTGTCCTAGTCGGTCTATCTGGACTTGCCCTTGTCTGTTCGTGCTCCTCGGTGGTTATCTGCAGCTTTTAATCGTGTAAAGTCAAGAGAAGAATGTATACACATATGTGTGTTGAATCAATAATTACGATTGGCATAGGTATGTGTGTACACACGGCACACCAACCTACAGTATATATAGCGAAGAAGCAGGGAGACTAAAAATATTGCCCCATATGTTCCACTATTAGTCATGGATTGTGCAGGCTTCTGAACTTGTGCAGGAAAGAAAATTCCCTCAGAGTCATAAATCGTGAGTGACAAATGCTGGTGGATTGATGGCAGGTCCTTTCACCTGTGGAAAAACTAGCTGGGGATCTGTCCTACCAGCTCACCTGGGCTTAGAGGTGGGCCTTGCGCTGGTCTTGTGGGCATTACTGCTTGTGTCTGATTGTCCTGTATTTTGTAACACTTTTAGAAGACTACAGAAAAGTGCAGTAATTATCTTTCACCATAGTATTTAAGCAGAAACATTGCTAGTTTAATATTGTGTCAGGTTGTCGTATTAACCAGGAACACATGACAGTAAAATTCCAGCGAGCAGCCCCTTGACATTCACAACTTAAAAAAAAAAAATGATGATTGAAGCAAAATGTGTAAACTTGTACTGGGTTATCATGTGCTTTGGAATAGAGTATTGTTGAAGTAATTAGAAGATATATTAAGGTGTTCCTGGTAATGAAGGCATGTAAGTTATCATAATTGTAGCTTTCTGAATAAGTGTCAAACTATATCTTTAAGTGTGCTGTATGCTGAGTTACAAGTTAGGTCATTTATGAATGGAATGTAAAACAATACTAAAAATGCTTCAATAACTTATCTTGGTATTGCTAATAAAAAAAAAGCTGTGAAACATTAGTGCAGTTTTGAGTCATTATGTTAATTCATTCCACAACACGCCCCTTGCCCCTTGACATTCTCCTCTCTGTCGGAAGTCACCATGACAGGACATTCAGGGAATGACTGGTACATTTTTTCCATGTTTACATGGAAGTAACAATTCATAACCATGCAAACATGTAAAAGGCTTTTCCGTTTGGCGCATCGGCAGACATATCCCATCTCTTAATATTAGTGACCTGTAGGTGTCTGAAGCTCACGACCATGCTGAGGACCTTGGCCTAAGGGGGGAATTGAGCATAGGGGTCTGCAGGCCACCATATCCACTGGATGTAGAACAGACCTCCCACACTTAACTACCAGGCAGAAAACCATAACACTTTCATTTCATCCTGGGAAGGGTAGTTTTTTATGGGAAGACCCTTCAGCACTAGTGGAGTTTAGGGACATTTTTTTTTCTACTGAGTTTTTTGTGGTTGTGCCAGTGTTGACTGCAACAGGCTTTTCCCCTGTTCTTCCGCTGACCCTCCTCATGGGGAAGAGTATAAAAAGGAAGATCACTTTTTGTTTGCATTGCCTGATTTTGCTGTCCATGAACGGGATGTTGCCATTCTAGCAGTGCCTCCATGCCTCCCTGTTTGGATTTGTTCAGCAAACTTCCAAATCCTTTGTCTGTCTGTACTCCCTGCTCAACTAGTCCTGTGGGGGGCACAGAACCTGAAGCCCTGTGTCTATCATTTGGACCCTGTTTTAGTCACTTTCTTGCTGCTGAGACACAATATCTGAGTCCTGTCCTCAACTGTCTGGATCCACAGCAGGAAAGGCAGCATGGGAGGGTCTAGCAGAGGAGAGCTGCCCACGTCATGGTGGCCAAGAAGCAGAGGGAGAAGTGGGGAGCCAGCCAGGAAGGAAGATGTCACACCCCGTCAGACCAGGCCTCACCTGCTAGCAGCACAATCAGCTATGGACTTCTTGGTGGATTAATCTGATGATCTAGACATCTTCTCAAAGCCCAAGCTCTGAACACCTGAGTCTTCTGAGAAATAGCCTAGATCCAAAGCATAACCTACTCCCAATAAATAAAGTGTTCAATAATGAAAGGAAGGCCAGAAACATTCTTTGGAATGACTGTGGCCTTAGTACCAAGATGAGTCACCTTGACCGACTGAAACGTACCCTCCAATGTCTCTCATAAAAACTCTTCAAGCCTTGGTGACCCCAAAGAACACAGTGTAGCCTTAGTTTGTCTCTTATTTGGGGAAAAAGATGAGAAATGAGAGATTCAAAACACAAGATGTGATAGAAGCCTCAAATGGAGACTAGATTCTGAAGAAGGAATCTTGTCCTCCTAAAGTTCAGTGCTCTAGACTGTTAACAAATTCCACACAGGTAGAGCTGAGCACAGACACAGTACATTCTCATAGGAAATGACTGATCTCAAATGCCTAGGGAGGTGAAGTGAGGAGACCCCCACCTCAAGGCCCCATGTCCATGTGGCTTCATCAGAGCAGGTCCAGTTTCTGCCAGAGTGCAAGCTGAGTTTGCACTTGAGGAAGGACTCTAGGAGAGTTCTTTGTGATGTTAACTCTAGGAAACCAGCCCAAGGGAAGCGGAGTGCAAAATGAGGGTCAATTCATCTAAGCCTTTTCCTGGGATGCCTCTAGCTGGGGTTAAGAACACTGTCCCTGGCGCTGCATCAGTTATAGCCACTCCGCATACTCTCTGGAACTCCTGCTACATGCTTGTCCCTGCTGGCTTGGAGAGTCAGCTATCTCAGGGGCCCTCCACCTCAGTGGCAGACTTTAGAGATGGGATAAGGGTGTGCACAGCAGGAGGAAGGAGCTGAGGAAGGGAACACCTCACTCAGCCCCTTGCACTGACAGCCAGCAAGGCTCCCTGGGGCCCGGTATCTGGGCCTTTGCTGTTCTTTCTTCCTTCCAGAAGGAGGGCCCAATTCCCCTGGGAGGGTCTATAAACTGGAGGACTGGGTAGTGTTTCCATTTCCAAAGCAGGGACTATTTCCTCTGTTGCTCCCCAGTGGTAACTTCTCAAGCTTCTAAGAGACCTTCGTGGATTCTTATTCTTCTATTTTTATGAATCCATCCTCAGGCTCCTCCCCACCTCTCGTTTTGGAGTACGCACATCATCATGCCTTACACTCCCCTTGTGCCCCACCCTACTCCTTCCCACCTCAGGACAGTGACTCGCTTCCCATCAGTTAAATGGTCTTGGGAACATCCTGTGTTCTGTCTATGAGGAGTTGGGTAGATTCAGGCCTCTGGAATGAGCTTCATTTCACAGCTGTGCATGGAAGTGGAAAATCTTTCCTGCAAATTCATCTGTCTCTCTTGCCTCCAAACTCTCACCCAAAGTGCATGAGGTTCTAACAAGCTTCATTTATCTGGAGTCAGACTTGGGGCCAACATCAGTATCATCTACAGCTGCCCTGGCCTTACAACTTTAGATCCTTCCCAACATGGATGGCTCACTGGTCTGCAATGTGAAAAAGACACCTGGGGTCCCCATATACAGATCAGGGTTAAAAGATGTCTGCGACATAATATGCCATAATATGCAAGAGGCCAAAGAACAGCAAAGTGTTTTGCAAAGAGAGTCTTCAAGTCTACTTCTTGTTACACGAATTGGAAGTGTAGTTGCTTTAATGAAACTTAAGCCATTGACGGGAAAATCTAAACTTTGGGACATGATTATTGTGTACGTAGAGTCTCCTTTCCTCCAAGAAACTTTACAGAGATTAAATTACATTCTAAATACATAGCAGCACGTTGGCAATACAATCAGTGCATGAACACATTCTGCCTCTTGAACAAACAATGCACATTTTCAAGGTGAAAGTTGGGGAACTTTGCCCAGCTATTTCATTAGCAAAAATATCCATGTGTACACGCAGACATGGGCTGGCTTCACGAGGAGTTGATCTTTCTTGTTCTTTGCAGAGTCACCCAGATACACCCATTTAATGGCAACCCACTGCTCACAAGGCTAAGTTTCTTTTCTGAGCTTCTGTTGTTATCAAATTAACATAATATGCTCTCAATTATCCACATAAAAGGAGAAAGGCAACCAAGCAGGGAGAGCAAATTTGTGATTAATTTAACAAGTTATTTTTATTTGATGGACAAGTGGGTTTTCTGTTAGGTGTCCAGTGTTTTGTGTGTCCTAAGGGCCTAAGGGAAGAGCTGAGTTGACCACAAGGACAGGCTACCTGGGGCATGAGGAAGGACAGGAGGTGGGTGCATGGCTGGGAGGCAGAGTGACCTCAGTGGTGAGTACTTAGAGGGTCCAGTTTATGCTGAGCTCTTTTTTTGTCAAGCAGAGCCATGAATTTTTTTCTCCTCTAAGATTAGCTTTGTGAAATGGTTAGGTCACCTCAAGCATGTCCTTATAGACCTGGTTGCAAATAGTTGACATTGGAGGCAATTCCAAGAAGCATGCCTGAGGAGACTGGGCAGGGGAATGTAGGTATGGCCATGAGCAGGCCACCACTGCAGGAGACTGGGGATTTATCCCTTCTGGGGACCTGTGGGGAACTCCTCCCAAGGCCAAGAAGCTGGGCTGTTTACCACCAATTCCGCATGCCACATTAGTTGAGGGCCACTGGAGCTGACCCCATGGTCAAGCATCCTTCTCTTCATCACAGAAGTTCTCGGATAAAGAAAAATAAGAGGTCACCAATTGACATGCTGGCTGAACAGAAGGGAGGGTTGTGTCACCAATAGTGACCCTACAAGTGGAGAGAACTCAACACCTAGAACATTGGGCTGCCTTGTAGAAGGTCACAGACCTGCCAGAGCCAAGGATGAGAACAGACACATGTCTTCCATGAACTGTGTGGAACTGCTTAAGTGTTGGCAAGTATGAAGCCTTCTAGCCTAGTGGTGGGCTTCAAGAAGAGGTGGAAGGCCAGCTCAGAGTTGGTTAGCTCACTTCTCTCTGGGGACAATCTCTATGAGTGAAAGGAGGGACAGCCTGGATGCCACCTTATGGGTCTGGTAGGTCTCCAAGTCTACGGCCCCATGACCTCATCTAGCCTGGACTTTTCAGGACTCTGCTAGTCCTAGTATCCTTGTAAACACTTAACTCGAGCAGTGTTCCAGATGTGGGCCTCATGTTGATGTCCAAGGCACAAGCCACCCAGGATTTTGGGGTAGTGAGATCCTTTACCATTACAGGCAGAGGCATGACAACTCTTGGAGGTGTGTTTAATAAATCATAGGAGGGCCAGTGAGATAACTCAGCAGACTAAGCACCTTCTTAGGCAAGTGAAGAGACTGGGGCTTGATCCTCAGCACCACATGCTGTCTAGGTCCGCCCCCTGGGCTTGCTAAACTGCAACCAAGTCCAGGTGTGGTGGCACATTCCTATAATCCCAGCACTGAGGAGGCTAAAAACAGGAGGAACACTGCAAGTCAGAACTACTTAGTGAGACCCTGCATAAAATGCATAAAAAAAAAACCCCATAGGAAGACCACTGAGGGATTTCTCCATTAATTCTGGAAATCAGTCAAGATAGGAAAAAAGTGGGATATGGTGATCCATACCCATAATCTCTGCATTCTGAGAGGTTGAGGCAAGAGAATCTCAATTTTTAGGCCAGACTTGGCAATTCAGTGATTCAGTGAAACTTTCTCTGAAGACAAAAACAAAACATATAAAAAAGAGCTCGGGATTCATCTTAGCGAAAAGGCCCTGGGGTTCAATCCCAAGTATTTCCCAAAGGAAAAAAAAAAAAAAGAGAGAGAGAGAGAGAGAAAACAAAATGCTCAATGAAACTGGACTTTTGGCTTCAGGGAAATGCAAGGAAAAGGTGATTACTTGACAAATTTTATTCTTTGCCAACCTCTGTGGTCACCACAGAGTTTGAGAAGATTCTATTTATCACCATGGTTGAGAATTCCTTCGCACCTTTAGACTTCAGCCTGATAACCCAGTGCATCCCGTTCCACTTCCACAGGACACACATATCTAGTGATGCTCAGAGGGAGGGGACATGGGTACTGAGAAACGGACCGACTTCTGGGCCCACATTCTGCATGCACAGGTACAGAAAGAGTTACCATCACGTCCTTCCTGCCCATGACCTGTGACCTTCCAGCTCTTCCCATCGTCCATCCTCAGAATCCCCCTGGCCAACCAGAATGACCCTTGACTAAACTCCCACCCACCCCCTGGGGATACTAGGTGCTGTCTCCTGGAACATCAGCAAGTGCTTGGCTTTTGCTTTGAACTGAATATCCTTACATAGAGATTTCTTGATCTCATTGTCTCGCTGTTCTCATCCATCACGTGAGACCTTGATGTATTCTTAAGAAAGTAAAATGAATGTGAATAACTTCAGCCTCATTTCAATTAGTTTAGGATTTCTTGGTCCCAGGCTGAGCTCCCCTGAAAACCCAGAACCTGTTAAAAACCCTGTCGAGCGGGGGGAGACTGTGGGTAGAATATTAGGAAGGATAGACTCCCTCGTTCTTGCCAGTCTGCACTCACAACCGGAAGGCCTGTCTCTGGAAGTCCAAGCTGGAAGCTTTCACACCTATAGTAAGCACATCTGGAGGTCTCTGGGGGAGGGGCTTCACAGGGACCCAGCCAGCTCCTTCCTGGGATACTTACACACATCCCTGTTGGCCCAAATCAAGCTGTTCTTCCAGTTTTCTAATCATAGAAAAGGGGACTTAGAGTTAGGAAAAGAATAGCAACTATCTCTGATATCCAACCAGAGGGATATAATTCTTATACTAGTAACATTTGCTTTCCATTAAAACTTTGGGTTCATCTGTCCTTTCTGTTCACACTCAAGATAATTTCATTTTCACCCACAGGGGAATTCTCAGGGCCTTGGGGATAAATGCCATTGCAAATTGAGGGATCCTCTCTCATTTGCACAGGTTGGACCCCTGAATTTCAGAGGTTACTGCTGCATTTCTGTGATATCAATTGAGGTGGTTTGCAAAGTACCTGGTTTTCAATCGGAAGTGCTATGTGAGTGACGGCAGGAGTTTAGCAGGCAGGCTGATGTCATTAGCCTGAGACACCAACAGGGGAAGGTCTTAGGGATGGGCCAGAGCATGCTGGACCCACTGTTGGCAGGAGGAGAGATTCTCTGTTCCTTTGTACAATTCCTAGAGCAAGCCCAAGAATAGTTTGATGCCTGCAAAGCCTCAAGTACTCAGCTAGATACCATGTCGATGTGTTGGAGTGGTCCAGCCCCAGGGGCTTGAGTTGGGGCAAGGGAGAGAGAAGGAAAGAGGGACCCAGGATAAAGGGGACCAGAGAGTGAGAGAGGATGAAAACCCAGAGCCGAGTAAGTGCAAACACAGAGATCCAGGGAGAGCAGTAGATGGGAGAGAAAGAGTAAAAGAGGAGAACAGGAAGAGAGGCAGGGAAAAGAGGAAGGGGGAGACCTGGGGAGAGACAGTGAAAGTGGGAGAGAAAAAGAAAAGAAGATCGTAAAAGGAGGAAGTAGAGAGACTGCACCTGCACCTAGAGGAGAGGAAATAGTGGAAGGAAAAGGGGAGGGGGGGGGAGAGAGAGACAGAGAGAGAGAGAGAGAGACAAGAGACAGAGAGAGAGAGAGAGAGAGAGAGAGAGAGAGAGAGAGAGCCAGAGAGAGACAGAAAAAGACAGAGACAGAGAGCCAGAGAGAGCCAGAGAAAGAGAGAGACAGAGACAGAGACAGAGACAGAGACAGAGAGACAGAGAGAGACAGAGACAGAGAAAGACAGAGAGAGAGAGGGAGGGACAGACAGAAAGACAGAGAGACAGAGACCAAGAGACAGCCAGAGACAGAGAGAGAGAGAGAGAGAGAGAGAGTCAGTGACAGAGAGAGAGACAGAGAGACAGAGAGACAGAGAGACAGAGAGACAGAGAGAGACAGAGACAGAGACAGAGAGAGTCAGAGAGAGTCAGAGAGAGAGAGACAGAAAAAGACAGAGAGCCAGAGAGAGCCAGAGAAAGAGAGAGACAGAGAGCGAGACAGAGAGACAGAGAGAGAGAGGGACAGACAGAGAGACAGAGACAGAGAGACAGAGAGCGAGAGACAACCAGAGAGAGAGAGAGAGAGAGAGAGAGAGAGAGAGAGAGAGAGAGAGACAGAGAGAGAGAGACAGAGACAGAGACAGAGACAGAGACAGAGACAGACAGAATAAGCCATGGAGGCAAAGAGAAACCAGACTCCTTTGGAGGCTGCCTGGGGCTGGGGTCAGGTGTCCTTCTGGCCCCCACCTCTTCCCTGCTGGTGGAGGTGTGGAGCATGGACTCTCTGGCTGTCCACCAGGAGCAGGGGAGGCTGTGGGGTCAGGTGAGGTTCCCTAGCACAGCACCTGGTGGCGGCCCGAAGCTCCAGCTGCGCCCTTCTCCCACTCTGCTTCCCAGCACTACTTTCAGGAGGAAATGCTGCAGCTTAATCAGAATTATTTACAAGATAATGGTCCATTGTTTGCACTAAGACAGATGTTGTCTGTGGGAACTTCGTGTTTCATGCTCTTTTCCCTGCTCTGCCTTCACTGGGTGCAGATGGGATCGAAGTAATGTGAGTTATTATTCCCAGGATTGGAAATTTGGAGGCGCCTTCCTTCCAGCCTGGGCTGAGCTGGGTTGGCATGGCGAACAGTGGAGATGGTCATTGCTGGGCCCGTGGCCCCTGAAGCTCCTCTAAGCAGGCTCTGATTAAGAGGCTCTGCCTTCCTTAAAGGGCAGGTTAGGATGGGAAGGGCTGTCTAATTAAGATGCACTTGCTCTGTGTTGACTCGAGAGGTCATTGCTGACAGCTCAGATAAGGGAGAGCCGTCTGGGCCTCTTCTTGCCATGGGTGCAGGGGCCATGCTGATCCTCTCTGTATCATTCCAATTTTAGTATATGTGCTGCCAAAGCGAGCACTCTTCTTGCCATGGGGACAGGGAAGCCCCTCTGGGATGGGGGCTGTGAGGCCTCCTCTCCTTCGTTTTGTGTGGTGCTGGAGATCAAGCCCAGGGCCTTCACCCTAGGCTACACCTTAACCCTTTTTGACTTTGGGACAGAATCTGGCTAAGTTGACTAGGCTGGTCAACTTGCAGCACTCCTGCCTCAGCCTCCCACAGTGCTAGGATTATAGGCATGAACCACCCTACCTGCCATTCCTTTTCTTTTTTGAAAGTTACCAGAGGGCTTCTTCTGGGTCCTCTGGGTTGACTGAGGGAGTCAGATCTAGGCTCATGCCTCCCTCTTTCTTCTAAGAGTAGGCCGAATGGTTGCCTGTGCCGTCACCTGACCCAGAGAGAGCCTCTGATCCAGAGGGCAGCTGGAGTATCTGGAGACTCATCCTGTTACAGGCGCTGCTGCAGCCTCACCCCCAAAGCTCCAGGCAGGTGGGCTGCCCAGTGGTGGCCCCATCTTGGTTCCTGGCCACATCTGCATCACCACACTCACTTCATCTGATATCAGATCTAGTTGTTGAAAGAAAATAGAAGCCAGGAGATATTAGGCTACTCACAACTCTTGATTCTGCTACTCCATGTGAAAGTCTCCAAACTTTTCAGGTCAGGACCCTTGAGTTATAAGGGCCTCTAGCTGAGCCTCAGTTCAGTCATCCACGCGCAGGGCATGAGGATAACCTTTTTGCACAACCAGGGAGAGGAATCCACCAAGCTGCATGGGCCAGATCCCCTGGAGAAGCACAGACTCAATAGACAGCAGCAACCAGAATTAGCATGAATTTTACCCCACTGGTCTGATACACTGCATTTCAATATCAGGATGTGGTCACCAATAAACAAACACAGAAATCAAAGTAATACAATCTCGCAGGGTCACGTTTGGATCCAAAACCCAAGCAGTAATAGAGAAGAGTCATTGACATGGCAGCCGAGGGGACTGAGGCCTGGCATTTGGGCACCCAGAGGAAAACTCAGCCATTGCTCCTGAGGCCCACTGTTCCCATGTCCTGGGTGCTGGAGAGAAGTTACCTAGAAATCACTTACAACCAGTAAGATCTCTTGCCATTCTGAAGCCAGGCAAGGAGCCGCAGAGATAGCTCAGCAGTCTAAGCACCTGCCTAGGCAAGTGCAAGGACCCAGGTTCCATTCCATACCCCATGCAGTGCTGGCCCTGCTCTGGGCCCACCACACCAACCACCAAGACCGGGCTCTCGGGAGGCTGAGACAGGAGGATCACTACGAGTCTGAGCTGCATAGTGAGACCTGGGTCAAATACAGAAGCCACCAAGCTGGGCATTGCAGTTTGGGAGAAGAGGGGCATTTCCCCATAATTTCCACATGCCCAGTGAGTACTTCTCATTGGCTTGGCAGCAGGATCCAGCCCTCTGACTTACCCTTCCAACATCCCAAGCCTATGTTATAATGATGAGTATTTACTATGCATCGGGGTGAAGTCCCCTTGCCAGCCCCTTCCAGATGATAGTGAAAATGACGGCCTTTCTTTTTATCTTCATAAAAAGTCCCATGAAACAGGTGTGATGGCATTCTTCTCCCTTTAGGCGTGGGGATATGGATGTCCAGAGATGCTTCTTTGTTTACCTAGATTGCTCAGCAAATAGGCAAAAAAGCCGAGACCCCAATGGGGGCAGTGAAGGCCTCCTCGCGCTGACCTCACCCTGCTGGTGCTTTCCCATACCCTCAACACTCCTTTGAGCTAGGTCAAGAATAAACCAAGCAAGCAACCAATAAATAAAAACAGCCCATTCCTGCTGACTGGTAACTGGCTCTCCAGAGAGAGCGGTAGCATTCCGTGCTGCAATCCCAGTCTCAGTCCCAGCCCTGGGCGCCAGGGGAGACCAGATGTGCCGGCCATGACCCAGGTGGTCCTGGGCCAGCCACGTGGCTCTCAGTGTCCTCTCCTTTTTATAAGTGACAAAGACACATTGACAACCTCAAGATCCTTTCCATTTCACAGTCTGCGAATCAATTATTCTTTGGACGATATTTATTCATTCATTTCCCAGCCTCAGGGGGAAAAGGGAAAAAAAAAAAAAATCCGACGTCTCCTGCTTCCCTTGGAGCAACAAGGCCTCAAAGAAACCTGACCCCTCACCTTGCAATTGCTCCCCGGGGTCCAGTGAGGAGTGGTGGAAAGTGGGTGGCCCTGGGCACAGCCTGCTACCCGCCCAGCCCCCAGGCGTGACAGCAGCAGAGGTCAAATTGGGATAATATTTATCAACCTTATTCTCATGGTGTCAGGCTCTGCCCCAAGCCCAGCATCATTGGAGATCCCAGATTACGTCTTTTGAGGTCCCTCGGAGCTGCTTCACATGTGACCAATTACCTCTGTCAGGCAGGAGGAAGGAGGTCTCCCTCCGTGGGTGGGATCGGAACTTGAGCTTCCAGAGCTTGGTGGCTGGGATCTTAGGCCTTTGAGCCCATCACTCCCCTATAGCCAGACCTTTTCTGTTAAAACTGTTTAAATTACAAACCAGTAATAAAAGGATCATATGTGTTTCCCACCGAACAGGTTCTTTAGGGCTATTATGATAATTAAAAACATATGGTGCCGGAGCTAGTCAGAGGGAAACCGCAGATGTACAAATTAGGTATTATAGAAGGGTTTTCTGCTTTTGCCCTTTTAAAAACGTCAAGCCAGAGAAGTTTAAAGAGATAAAATGGCAATTGTGCAGATAGTAGGTAGCATTTTGGTTTTAGAATCATTAAATATATAAACCCTTTTTTTAGACTTAATAGGAATAAACAGCTTCTGATATTGCAGGAGGAGAGAGCAAAGCGGGGAGGCTCAGAGTTTGTGGGGGAGAAGCAGCGTTTTCTACCTCACGAGATCTTGGATCCCATGAAGTCTTTTGCATTTTTTATGACGTTGTTCCACACAGACAAAGAGGATTATATTTATTAAATATTGAATTATATTAAAACAGAATTGATGGGAGCAAAGAGGAGGATTTCTTTACATTAAACTTTTCGTTAAAAGGCAAAGATGCAAGTATTGATTAGTCTAGAAACAGTCATTTGTTTTAATTTAAAATATGCAATTGATTTTGAGAAGGTGATAAATACTGCTAATAAAAAAAAAATCGGGAGGACTTCTACAGCTCCCTGTCAGTGGTTTGCATGTTCGGACCTCCAGGGCAGGGTAAGTTCTGCTGAGCTGATCCTCAGGAAAACAGTTGGCAGCTTTCAACCTTTCTGCCGGGGCAGCAGGGATGACAGATTCTCAGTTTCAAGCTACTGGGGCTCGAATTAAGCAGCTAAGAACTTGGGATTTTGTTGCTGCATATCAGCTGTAGATAGCCAACAGGGCTACTTTAAAGAGGATGCCCTGGGAGACACATCCGAGAATACATCGTCCACCTCAAATTAGCAGCCACTCTGTGGGCGGTTTCCAGGGGACATCTACCCAGAACCTGATGGCCTCACTCCACCCCACACCTTTCCTGGGTGACGTTTGGGGTAGCTACTTAAGCAAGCAAAGTGGGGAGCCATATGACAAAGTTGCAAGCATACAAGAGCAGAGAGGAGGCATTACTCCCCCAGAACCCAAGCCACTCAAGCCCCCAGCAAACCAGAATATTTGGAAGACCACTGTGTAACGACTGAGGTTCCTAGTTATAAGTAGAGATAAGCTTCTTAAGCTTCTAGTGAGGGAAGTTAGACTTTAGGGTATCTCTGATTGTCAGAATGTTATTTGAAATGGGCACCTGGGCTCTGTCTTTGCTGAGTTCTGCAGTCCACTAGCCCTAGTGTTCTCTATGCCCCATACTTGCCTGGTGTTTCTAAATGTTCATCATCCTCTAGTATTCTTTTGTGCGGGCAAACTTGGACCAGACCTACCTTACTCTTCTACCTGTGGGTTATGTGGTGAATCCAGGCTCTCAGAGAGCCTGCGACAAGATCAGAGCAAGAAGAGAGTTCCTGAGTCTTCTTTCTGCAACCCAAAAACATTGCAGGAGACTGTGTATCGAAGCATTCGCCGTGGTGCTGGTGGTGAGAAGTGGTTCTCATTGGTGATGAGGGTGTGTGTGTGTGTGTGTGTGTGTGTGTGTGTGTGTGTGTGATTTCCTTTCCCAGGGGACATTCAGTAACATCTGGAAGCACTGATGGGGGCACTGCTGAAATCCAAAGGGTCAGGGTCACTGTAAACAACTCACATGACCCGGGCCAGTCTACACCACAGAATCATCTGACTCTGAATGTCCACAGTTAATACTGTGGCTGAGAAGTCCCACTGCACAGGCAGGAGAAGCTCAGGCTTCCCGTGCAGTTCCAGGGTGGACAAATGGTGTCCAGCCACGTGGCAAGATCTGCCGTCCCGGTTTCTCGCCCATTCCCCTTGTCTCCTAGCCACCTTCTTTCCAAGTCACTGCAAGACCTCAGGCCTTTCTGAAAAACTTTTCAGGCAATGCAGGCAGGGGTCTGGAGACAGAAACTGTCCCAAATAACCCAGCACCTTCCTTGCAGCTCGGGCTGGCACACAATGTGCAGAAGGTGGCAGCCACGCGGGCCCCTGCAGGCAGGCTTTCTTCTTCCCTGAGTGACGGGAAAGCCTGCGACGTTATTGTGCACGTAGGTATTACCACTTTAACTTTTACTGAGGTAAAATAACACCTTGTCACTCAGTGCAAGTACCAATCACAAAATGAATTAATTGTAATAACTGTTGTCAGCAGAACAAAGGACTTGTTGCTTTCCTAAGCAGATTTCAGCGCCACTGAGAACTATATACAAACGCTCCCATTGGGCAGGCTGGAAGAAACCAGTCAGAACATAATTGTATCTGTCTGTCTCTTTACTTTGTTTTTAAGGGCTAAGGAATCGAGTTAAAAACCTATATTTTAAACATATCAATAAATATACCCTTTTTTGTGTTTGTGACGTCTCCTCAAAACCATGGAGTCTTTCATAAAAAGCCGTGGAAATAGCATTTGCAGCTGATGGTAC